CGTGGGACATGGACAACACTCTGCACCTCCTGCAGATGTCGCTGTGAGTGCACGTGTGTCAACATGGAAGAGCAGCAGAAACAAGACAGACCACACACACACACACACACACACACACACACACACACACACACACACACACACACACACACAGTCTCCTCTTCTAAAAACAAACATCTTTGAGTTATTGTTTCATCTGAACACACACTAAGGTAGTTGTTTAAACTCGCCACTAGGTGGCAGCAATTATCTTGCTTTCTCATTATTGAAACCTGAAGTCACGTGCAGTTTACAGTTATAGTCAATTCCGCAGAATCTTTTTCTCCGTAACGTAAAAATAATTAGAGAAAAAATGTTGGAAACGGTCGTTGATGTTTTCAGTCCAGTGACTGTGATCGGTACCAGTCCAACGATCATCGGTACCAGTCCAGTGATCATCGGTACCAGTCCAGTGATCATCAGTACCAGTCCAGTGATCATCGGTACCAGTCCAGTGATCATCGGTACCAGTCCAGTGATCATCGGTACCAGTCCAGTGATCATCGGTACCAGTCCAGTGATCATCGGTACCAGTCCAGTGATCATCGGTACCAGTCCAGTGATCATCGGTACCAGTCCAGTGATCATCGGTACCAGTCCAGTGATCATCGGTACCAGTCCAGTGATTATCAGTACCAGTCCAGCGATCATCGGTACCAGTCCAGTGATCATCGGTACCAGTCCAGTGATCATCAGTACCAGTCCAGTGATTATCAGTACCAGTCCAGCGATCATCGGTACCAGTCCAGCGATCATCAGTACCAGTCCAGTGATCATCGGTACCAGTCCAGCGATCATCGGTACCAGTCCAGCGATCATCGGTACCAGTCCAGCAACTGTGATGGCTGGACTGGTACCGATCACAGTCACTGTTTGTCTCCATCAGGGCCTTGAACGCAGCATCATTAGACCCATTCAAAGGTGTGGAACACAAGTGTGGGCTACAAACATGGAGCACATCTGTATGTCTGTGGTCTGTGGTCTGTGGTCTGTGGTCTGCTCCAGATCACTGACATATTCTAATATATAACATTATACTACAGTGGTAATACATCACAGTACACATCACAGTACACATCACAGTACACATCACAGTACACATCACAGTACACATCACAGTACACATCACAGTACACATCACAGTACTGTGGAATATTACAATACTGACCTTTTCTCTTTTTTTAGATTCTGATCCTCCATCACCTGCATCTGCCCCCTGTCTCTCC